TTGAAATTAACAGAATCCCTGTGCTTATGTGCACATCAATGTGTCAATCAATGTGTCTCAACAATGTGCACATGAACAATGGGGGATGTGTTATTTGACAACAGTCTGATGCTTGCACAAAACTTAAACCAGCAGGTCTGCCTTGTGTAATAATTGTATGACAGTGTGCATGGAAACAATGAGACACTATTTAGACATAGATTTTGAACTGACTGTGCAGCGGCTCCAAGCAATATCTTTATAATCATTTTATAAAAGATCAAATATCCTTGTAGTGTGACTTAATATAGACTTAACATACAGTTTTGCTTTATTAAGCTGAAAAGCTGTTACCATGCATTGTTCACAACGGTCCGGAATAGGGCAAAGGGTATCCACTAATTTTCGTCGGGTGTTAATGGATTATAAAACCAAAGAAAGTGAATGTTGGACTAACATTCGCCAAATGGTGAGCAATACAACTATAAAAAAGGACCCGTAAACGGGGTAACTGTTTGCTAACATGTCAGCCACATCAACATAATAAGCTCATGTGTTTTCAGCCTATTGTGCGTGGGTCAAAACTGATCAATGCAAACTTAAAAGACTAACTTTTGAATGCCCAAAAATACTGAACCGTTAAATCAATTCTGGCTGTTCACCACGCAACTAAGAATACCCAGGTAGTGTTATTTATTAATCTAGATTGTTTGGGCCAGAGTTACATAGTGTTAACTTAAATATAATGGAACTAGATGGCACTTGGCTTGTTTTGAGGAAAAATACATTTGAACTCAACAGCACTGTCTCTTTCCAGGACTCATGACCCGGTCACTAAAGATAATAAATAGCTGGTTTTGAGCAGTTTCATCTAGGAACTATATTATTTTTACCAAATAACACCCTCTTACAAAATGAGTGATATAAGGCATTCATTTCTGAATTTGGGCTGAACTGTCCCTTTAAGAGTGTTTTTTGCACCAAACAAAGACTCAATAATTCCCCTACTGCCAGTTTGGAGAAAAGGGACCATTTTAATGAACTCACAAACAATTGAATATAATTGAAAGAATGCAAAGCTATGGTACATCACTAAGCATAGTTGTATGTTGTTAGTATACACAGTATATTAACCTCTCTCTCACCTCTCTAGTGTCTGGGCCTTATCCATTGGGCGTTGATAGCCAGTGCCCCCTACACAGCGATTCCAGCGTACGGCTGGGTGATGTTTGTGGCAGTCACTCTGTGGATCCTCACCACCATCCTCTTCCTCATGATCCTGTTCAGCGCCCAGCAGAAAATCACCTTTATCCCTTGGCCCCTGACGGTAGGAAGGAAGGGACTATGGGAGGGGAGGAGGCCAGGAGGAATATAAAGAAACGTTTTTCAGACTTGTTTGGCTTGCTTTCAAAACATTTAACATAATGGATTAATAATAATTTAAGTTTGACTAAAAGACGTTCTTGGTTATTATTGGTGAGGAGTTTAGTGTAAAGAAATTCCATCCACTTCAACAGCAAGAAGAGCATAGACAGAAATCTGTCATGTGAATAACTAAAACAGTCTCCCTGTGCAAATGATATTAGTTGGGTTGGGGGATTTGGTCATTAAATGTATTAAAGGAACCCTATTATGCTCATTTTCAGGTTATGTAATTGTATTTTTTGCCTCTACTGTGACATGTCCCCATGCTTTAATGTTCAAAAAGGTCTTTATTTTTCTCTTACTGCCTGTGCTGCAGCACCTCTTTTCACCCTCTGTCTGAAACCAAAGCCCAGTCTGCTCTGATTGGTTAGCAGGCATGCTCTGTTATGATTGGTCAATGCTAAGTGATGTCCCGCCCCTTAGTCACGTACAATGCGTTGGAGGGTTAGCTAATAGAAGTGTGAGTGTAACGCAGTGATGTCACTATGTTACGGAAGTATACAAAGGACTGCAATCAATGCGTTTCAGGTAGAGGGGGAGTGTGAGAGAAATTCCCTCTTCCCCGCTTTGGGATTTTAGCCTTTGCAGACCATTTACATGCACAAAAACCTATATAACACACTGCAGGAAAGGGAAAACGGAATAGCATAATTGTGACCCTTTAATCAATTCTTCATAAACAAGAAAAAGTCAGCATAATTTAGATTGAAGTGTCACTGTGAAGGATCATTTGAAGTTTAGTAAAATTAAGAGTTTGACTAAAAAAGTCAATGGAGGAAGAGGCAATATTTGGAACAACTCGCAAAGAAAAAGACAACAAAGAGGGGACAAAGGGGGAAACAAGGAAAGAAGCTCTGAGAGAAATGTGGCTAATTGTTCTCCTTTTTGTGCTAGGTGATGGTGTATAACGCTGCAGCCACGGTCCTCTATCTGACGGCCTTCTTGACCAACGCCTCAACTGTGCATCCCTACCGATACTCTTATTTCTACGGACATTTGGCAGCTGCTGCTGTAAGATGCCTGACACCACTGTCACTCACTTAAATATAAAGGCATGAATTAATATGCAAGAATCACTATGACATCACCCTCTGATAATTTGTCTGTAAAGGCAAATACTTCTGAAAAGAATCAATATTTTGGACAGAAAATCCAGTAGTCTTGTATTCAGTTAGTCATACAACATTGGAATGTTTTCCCTCCCTCGCTATCACTGTTTGGCTAGGAGTGATTATGTTAGCATTTGTTCTTATCAGGCTGTGGCAGGTAGGCTATACCCGAAGCTCAAGATATGACAGAGGCAGAAAGAGAAGGGTGACACGGATCACATGTCTGGAAACATGTCATGTGATACGTGTTTTAAAGAGCAGTTACCTTTGTACCCCAGCTGTCACTTGCTCCTCCCCTCTGCTGAGTTAATGTTCAATAATTAAAAAAAAGGTGGATGTAAGTCAACAGATGGAATGTGTGTGTTTGTGAGATTTAAAAAATGTCACACTAAAGATCACCAGTGTCAGAAACAGGGCCTTTTTATTGTCTCTGTTATTGGCTAAAGTCCGTGCTGGTTTACAGCTACAGTAGCATTACCAGATATGATTTCACACACACACTCTCCACCCTGGCCCCTTTGCTATCGCAGACTCCTTGCAATATAATGCCTCTGAAGCACAAGAGAAAAGATACATAAGCATGTATCATGCATAGTGGCAAATCAGGACATGGTTAATAGATTAACCATTGATCTGCTTCCTGAAGTTGTTAAAGAAGTTTAATTGTGTCTCTTTTCCCCTACTACCTCTCTGTTCAGTTCTTCGGTGCCGTAGTGACTGTGGCGTATGGAGCCAGTGCTTTCTTCTCCTATTTGGACTGGAAGGGAGATGGAGGAAATGCTGCAACCAACACAGTGCCGACCTAAAACTGAAACCTGTTGAACTGGCCGGGACACAGACTCCTTGTGAACTCTTTAAGAAACTGTAGTTAGCTATGTGGATGATCGACTGCTGAGTATAACAGCTGACTCCTGACCTTTCAATAACCTGAGTATTAATAATAAGATGAAACCTAATTCAGACTGAAGATATCGTCTGGTATTTTACTTTTCAGTCCAACTCAGTAGCGTTTAACCTTCAAATTGTGAAAAAATGTTTTGGCAGCAATGGATTATCCAACTGAACTGTACTGTATCAATACAACAAAATATTTATTTCAAGGTGATCTGATAAACTGCACTGAGGTCTGAATAGGCATCCATGAAATAATACATTCAATAATAGTATTGTAAACAAATAAATATGAGTGGTTCAAATGTAGATTATACAATGGTGTGATGGCAACATTTATTTTAATTTAAATGCCTGCTTACCAAGAGATTGATATACCATTCTTAGGTCTGTATATGAAGCTATGTTGAATACACAAATAAAGCAACCGCTTAGCTTAGCATAAAGAATGCAAACAAGGGGGAAAGCTAGCCTAGCTCTGTTCGAAGGTAACAAAATACACTCGCAGTAAAGCTCATTTTGTTATCTTTGAAAATAGCTAGGCTATCTTTTTGCCCATTTCTAGCCTTTGTGCTAAGCTATTTGGCTGCATACCTTATCTTCACACATTCATTGAGTGTAGCATCAATCTTCTCATTTAACTTTCGGCAAGAAAACATATAAGCCTATTTTTTCAAAAATGGCAAACTATCTATATATTTAAAGTAAGGTTACCCAACCATGGAAGAATGTATTTAGAACTTCAGGGCTAGTGCAGTTATTGTTGATTTAAAAGTCAAACTTGGCCACTAGATAATAAAATGACATTGGTAATGAATGATGTTAACGGCTCTAACGGTGTGTCCTTGGTTATTAATTAATGTAAAGATCCTATTGCACTATGAAGTGTAAAGTGCTTTCATCCATGTTCCTGTGGCTATAAGAGGACTAGTTCACAGTAACACACCGCTTACATTAGCACTGGGCAGCCTGACTCAACTTTGATTTTAAACATTTCTGCAGTGTGTCGCCCTAGGACTGTCATCTATCAAGAAGAACTATGAAGATACATTGAGATTGTTTGTTTAGCATTACCTGTTTACAGAGCGCGGTTGTTGTAGGTCCATGTTGGAACATGCTCGACGCTTGCATTTGCTTTCTGTGATGATCATATAAGAAATGATCTAAAATACCAAGTTATAGCAGTGCAGAAGGTTTAAAGAGTAATAGTAACGTAATGTCGTGCAGAAGTACAATTAGATTTTCTAAACAGGAAATCCAGACTCATTCATAAATTCTCCATGGACCTAGCCAAAGCACTGAAACACGAAAGTGAGTCTTTCAAGAATGTGTGTTATAAAGATGCATGGTTTCTGCGGGACATTAAGACCCTTTAATGATTCAGATATTGTTCTTCTAAGTACTCAGAGCTGTGGAAAAAAAGTGTGTAACATTTTTTTCTTTGATTTATATGAGACAGGGCTAAACTCCTGCTGTATGTGCCTTTATAAAATACGTTGTGTCATTTTGTACCAAGAATTACAATACTAGTAAAACCATTTGAGTGCTGGGGCTCAAGCATGCACTTGATGAAATAAAAACACATGAAATTCAATGTAAGGCTTTTAAATGTTTATTTAAAAATATCGTTTTACCAACAAATGAAACATCAGAAAATACCTTTGACATTGTACTTAAAACTATACATCTTATTTCTAATTGCAGACACACGCACATGCTCACACACACACACAGTCACTAAATACCTAAAGACTGACTTTCAAAGGCGCAAAGCTCAATCGAATAAGTTTCAAACTGACAAAATAATTTAAAACTTCATAAAACATATATTATTTTCTTACAAAAAATACCATACCAGGCAAAGAGAGCCGAGTTAAACATTCACACAAATGGTCTCCTCTGCTTACAGGGGGGTTTGTTGATAAATTCACATAAGAACCAGTGAGAAGACGTGAAAAACATACATTTAGTCCAATGCAGCACCAGAGTCCTTCTCCGTTATTGGGCAGAACTTGCAAAGACATCAAATGGTGCGTAAACCTGTAGATTCCAGGTACACACATTTCCATATTTCAAGTAGTCATTGTGCCCAGTGCAGTGGTTGGACAGTAGAAAGAAAGATCTCACTCATTAACTAAAGAGAGCGTCTTGAACACACATACCTTCGCCACATAAAACACAGAGGAATGCATTGACGATTTGGCCGTTAGGAGTCCTTTGTGCACAGACTGTAGATTTATGGGGAGTGTTTCCAGCAGCTCATCATTAGACTGCAAAGCTCTGAAGGCCCATGGACAAAATGTTAAATAAACAGATACTGTAGAGGAGGAGGCAATTCAAATGTTGGTTCTCTGTGAGTGTCACTGCGGCTCAGAGGATCCTGCGGGGATCAGAGATGTGACCACCAGTCCCTGACTCAGGTCCAGCCCTCGGCCCTCCTTCTCCTAGAACCACACATAAAAGTGTATTTGTAACAGTTCTTCATAAAAAATGCCTTGATGGCTATGTATCCCCCGTGTGCATACGTTAGCGCTATGGTTGATTGTCATAATTGACTATTTAATCAATTTATTAAGCCACATGTTTACCATACTTTTTAGATCTTGGTCTTTTCTAACTACATATTTTTAACCTGATAAAGGATTACAGTCCTTTGTCGTCTTGATCCTAATTCATCAGAGAATTGTCTACGTGAATTAGCTTTATTTGATGTTTTACTGATTTTAGTCAGGGGGTCAGTTTGTTTTGTAGACGACGAGATATCTGAAGATAATTTGTCTCCCAGTAAAAACCTCTTATAGATGAAACTGAATAAATCCTAAAAGTGCAAAGATAACCGCCTCACAAACGATGACATTGGAGGTAGGGGAAACAACTTCCATAATTCCACGCTACTTGAGAATGTGACCAAAGTAAGTCTTTTGTTGATGTATCAGTTTTGTTGTTTTGTTTCAAGAGACCCCTACCAGGAATTTGCATATTGTACTTTTTAAGTAAAGCGTGATAAAAATATGTTTAACCACTTGTTTTTACCCAGTTGTCTGCAGAAATCAGTATAGATTTAAATGTGCATGAACACAGGCTTACCCAATGTCAACATACCAAGTAAAAACATACAAAAAAGAGAATCCTAATCAAAGTAGGTTTAACTCACCGCTCTGTATTCCAGAAACATCTCTTTAAAGGCCGCAAAGTCAGTAAAGGTCAGCAGCATGTCAAAGATGTCCCCTGGCACCTCCTCTTTGTGTTGCCTGCACATGGGAGAGGGACACATGGGGCAATGTAGTTTAGTGCCGCCTAGTTGCCGAATATAAAATACAACTTCTTAGATGCAACAGGCGCATCCACAATTACACCACAACACATTTTTGTTTTATTCTATAAACTACTGACAACATTTCTCTGTGTTGCAATTCAACAGACACTGGAATGGAATGGCTGCCATACATGTAGAGATTGAGTTTTAAGAAAATGTTTGAGTGGTCTCATAATTTTTTCCAGAGATGTATGTTATCAGTGGAAGTAAAGTTGTTGTAGGAGCTCAGGGGAGAGTTGTGATGTCACATCTTACATGAGCAGCTCTATGAAAGAGTTCATGTTGAAGGTGGGGATCCTCTCCAGCAGCTGCTGCTCCAGGTGTTTCTCCAGCAGGTCGACCTACACAACAGTCAAGAGTGTTATAACGAAATAGGTCTTAGTTTACATCCCTGACTACTAGACAGAGCTGTAAAAATGATAGACGATGTGGTAAAATCTGAAATATTTCTGAAGGGACGTGTGTATAGTACATAGACAGGGTAATAAAAGATAATTGCATATGGCATGTTCCTCAGAGACAGGCGAGGGAGATACATTGGACCACAGCAACTCACATATTCATTGAAGATGGACGTGTAGCTGAGCTTGTTCTCGTCAGAGTCGTCAAACTCCAGGTAGTGTTTGTCCATGAAGTTCTGCTGAAGCTGCTGAAACTCCTCCTCTAAAAAAAAAGTAATAAATATCATATATCTTCTTTTTTTCTGCGGAAACACTTGAGATGTGTATGTCTATATAGGTTTAGCAAGGTTGTCTTTAAAAGAATGTCTAGGATAAAATATGAAATACTTGTTATACTTTTCAGTAATAGAATGTTCACCACGAATGAACAGATCCAGACAATTAGTTGGAGCACTTTAGGAGCATAACTCTCAATATTTGTATATAATACATCTTAAAGACACAAAGTTCCTCATTTTCAGGAACAAAAAGATAATATTGGATATGTTTCTACAACATCAAACTATGATTATCACTTCTTACTTTCCGGTGGCTGAATATAAATCATCACAAATCAAAAATAGTAAGACCAACACAACAAAATGCTTACAGAAAAGGCTGAAGGTGTTGCTTAACTAATCCTACCCATGATGATGTCCTCTATTGAGCCAACAACAGCATCAAAAGCAGCATCTGCAGCTGAGGAACTGGAGAGAAAAACAAGACACACCATTAAAATGTAAAAAAGCAGAGTATTGTATCATTTGTTCTAGCGTGAGCTTCATAACATAGAACTTGACACTTGATTGCCATGGCACTAGCTCCACTTAAACCAGTTTCTGGATTGTGAGTACCTACGTGGAAATAGCAAAGTTTTCTTCGTCCATGTCAATCATTTCTACGATGTTGTCTCCACAGCCTCGGACATCTGGAGGATGAGGAGAGGCAATATATGAATATGTTAGGTGAAAATCAAAGCTGTTAGCTATGCAAAACAGCTCGGTTAGCTGCAAGTGTTCACAATACATTTCGTTGCACCACACAGACAGTAAGGGCTAACGAGTTTTTTAACGTTACCGAAGAATAGCGTTACTTAACGTTAGGTGGCTAGTAAAGTTAACGGTTAGCGTACGTTAGCTAAACACATGTTGTTAGCGTTAAATGCATGCGAAGTGTCAGTTTGTTAGCTACATGTTAGCATTTTCCGCACTAAACGTATTACTTCACCCCTACCTTGAACTTATAATGATAGTCAAATAATCTTTCTTACTTCGTTCCTGGATGTCCATGTTGTTGAATAATCGTTACCGTGTATGATGAATGCCGAACGTAGTGTTGTTACCAAGGAAACGGTGACGAACTTGGTGTGCGCAAATGAGTTGCGTCCGGTAGAACAAAAGCTGCGTACATTGGTTCCTACCTGAAACATATATCGTTTAGCATCGATTATTAGATAAATTAATTACTATTATTTGTACCGAGATTACAGAAACAACGCTTGCTTCCTGTGCTGGAATTTCACTCAAATGTAAGCAAATAATCTAAATACTACCATCCTTCAGTCATTCTTTACTAAATTCAAGTAATGGTAGCTATATTGACTGTGACCAATTGTTATTTAAAGAATGCATTTCTGTGTAAATTAGTTTCTATTATGAAGTTTACAATATGTGTACTAGCATATGTTATTAGCAAGTGTTTCTGTAAAACAACTGGAACGCCATTGTTAAAGATGCAGATTATTGTCACTCCTATTTTAAGACACAAGACAATTTGAGATAAGTAAACACCACTTGGTCATAACCTCACATGAACATACATTTATTTGTACAAATATCACAATCCAGGAAACAACAATTCGTCAGTCACATCTTAGGGAACTCTTGGGCAAAATTCCTTTATCGATGTTTTAAATACAACCCACAACTTATTCTATACAATCCTGAACTTCATCTCCAACCATAGAGACCAACATATAATTTCTCTCACCTGCATGTACAGTATAAGGTGCTCCAGGAAATACAAGATAGCAAACCAGTCTTTCTCCTACTGAGAGATGCATGTTACCCTTCAGAAATCCTTACAGTATAGTCTGCATGATTTCACAGATCCTTTTCATGCTATTTGGTGGAGTAGTAAGTCTGTCAACAGTTTGTCCAAGATAAATTCGAAATTATTCAAGGTGGTAATTTGAAATGACATTGATTTTTGTAATTGTACAAATAGTTCTTCTTGAATAACTACCTCTCCTATTTCGTCACCCGTTTCCAAAATGTAATTCAGTCAACCCAGAGATGCTTCAAGTAAGAGATGGACAGAGAAACGACAGAAAACATGAGGTTTATGAAGACTGGGAGGAAGATGGAGAAATGGCTAAATGTGCTTATATAATAAGCTTATAAGTTATATAAAGCACAAAGAGGGCAACCACATTTTACTCAGTCTTAAAGATATATTGGACAACACGCTGCCAATCAGACAAAAATAAATAGAAATTCTGTACTGAAGCCCTCACTCTTTAGGTCATTTCACTGTGTAGTGGGTATTGCACTGCATTTTAAGATGGCCCTGGGATATTTAGTAAACTGCTATTGATGAAAAACGATTCACTTCAACATTTCACATTTGTTTTAAACAATTTACTGATCGGCTAATACAACACTGTCAAGTCTCTACATCAGCGTTCACCATCAATATAATACAAAATTAAAATCACATCTTGAAGGTTGAAAAATGTCATCTTAATACAGATGCACGTGTTTGTTATGACAAACAAAAATTAAGACTTATTTACTTATGATGCCCCTCAACTGAGCCTGACTCATGGTGAAGCTAAATTACAAATTGTTGCCAAATTGTTAGCATCAATCAAGCAATCCAAGATAAATTCAGAAGTTGTCGGTGGCAATTTGTATACTTCCCCCTTACTGGCTCTTAAAACATAAAGACTTTTAAGTGGGGGATAAAACTTGTGGATACATTTAAAGTTGAACTTTTTGTAAAATCTTGTTGTATTCCTTTGTTGTGGTTGTTACAGAGAGGACAGAGACAGAGGACAGAGACAGAGGAAATATCAACATCTGAGCAAAGACAATAAAGCACAAAAAGCAGCAGGGTCAGCCGTGCTTGACAATTACTTCCAATACAGATTCAAGTTGTGAACTGGCTGTAAAACATACATTTTATCAAAAATGCTTTCGGTTGCATGACAGCTGATTTAATTTTACATTGTAAACCAAACCAGAAAACTCTTTGTGGAACTTTAAAGCTTTATGAAACCAAGAGAAAAATCTGATATTTTACCCGATAATGTATTTTTTCAAACTCTACCAGTGGGCGATCAATTAGTACAGACAGTGAAGCTGACCAAAGGATAGGAGTTGGTATAACCTTGAGAAAAGACAATGGAAATGCTACGTAGAGAACACCAGAATTCGTATATCTATACCCAAAAACATATAGATGGGACTATCTCAAATGTATCTGTACCTCGGGTTTAATAGTGTACTAAAGGCTGTGTTCCTCTGCAACCGGCCCTTTCAGATCTGCAGATGTGTGCATGACGACAATGGGATTAAATAGTAGTAGCCTCTGAGCTGAAAGCGCAGTGAGATCCTCATATCATAGAATCAATGTCTAACAACTCTACGCAGGGGTTTGCAGACTAGAGCTTGGTTCTGTCTGTATTCTCGTTAAATGATTTCTGCTTGTGACTCTTGCTCTCTTTGTCTGACTGTTGGTAGAAAGTTGACGCTTCCTTTCCCAGCTTCTGCAGTGAGTTATACAAAAGAGGTGAAGTAGGTACATGGGAGGAATCCAGCTGGTTTAATTCCCCCTCCTCTCATCTCCTTTTTTCCTTCTCTCCTCCCCTCCATCGTCGCCTCCTCTGACCAGAAGACACAGTTGTGGCATCATGACAACATGGTGGCGCCGTCCTTCCAGCCCTGCTGGGTGAGAGGGGATTGGAGGAGGAGGAGGAGGCTGTAGGGCTTGTGTGTCCCTCCATGGAGGAGAAGGGGCAGGAGGTTTGTCAGGAGACATGTGCAATGAGTCTGACGCGGGTCTGGATGTCCTGGCGGCACAGGGGGCACGTCTCTAACTGTAAGGCACACTCCATACACATACCACTGAAGGAAAACAGAACAAATTAAGATGTTATTAACTCAGATGTTCTATTTTCTGTGACAGATCTACGATTCAAATACAAATAATATATTTAAACTGTTTTACTTGCTGACATGCACACATACCCATGTCCACACGGCCGCAGCTCGGTGTCGGCCATGACGTCGCAGCACAGCGTACAGCAGTTGTCTCGGATGCTAACCTGCTTTAGTAAGGCTAGACGCCGGTGTCTGTGAAACACATAAACAAACAAGCATATGCACACAAGCGGATTAATATTCCCATTTACAGATATGTATTTAATACCGTCTTCTTCTCTTTTACTTGACAAGTAATGGCAAATTTGACCCTCGATTCTATCAATCTTATTACAAATTACTAGAGGTCCTTGGTGGTACTAGTCCTGTGGGAAAAAGGCTTTTGTCTAGATACAAATGTTCAGTTTTGATTAACACTGTGTCTTAATTCAGCTCTGGTAATGTTTTAGGTTGTGTTGCAGCATTTTATTTTTTTATTTTAGCCTTTATTTATACAGGTGTAAAAATCTCATTGAGACACAAGGTCTCATTTGCAAGAGAGACCTGTCAGTGGTAACACTACCACACAAAGTTACAGACAGGACACTAAACACAGAGGAGCATGGGATCGCTTTAGTGTGGCTTCAACCAAATCCGATTATTTAAGCTTCACAAATATGTTATTTATTACAGGCTAATAGAGACTTCAAATTACATATTGTCTTGTCAAAATCAGGTATAATAAGTAAATGGTGCATTTCATTTTGGCGTTCCCCTTTTGGGGTGTTTGGGGTTGCTAGGTCACTGCCATTTAACTGAAATCCGAATATTAAAGGTGTCTGCTAAAAGAAAGGTATGGTGCCTTGTTGTAAAACTAATAACTAGTCTTCAGAGCTGCTTTAGTTTTGCCAACAAATTAATGAATCTTCTCTGTGAACACTGGAGCGCCCCAAAAGATGAGTCATGTTTGTGTCATGGCACAACTACGTGTTGGACGCTGTGTGCAAACAAATGATTCACTAGTCAGAGGACCGTTTGGTACAGCAACAGATTGCATTCTGCATTTCCAAATTCTCAGAGTGTAGTCTATTTTTAGAGACTGCTCTCAAAATCCCTCTAATGCTGCGTTCACACCGGACGCGATGCGAATATTCGCTTCGCTCTAATCGCATCGCTCTAAACGCTCGAGTTTCACCGCGGCTGCCAGCTGTGTTTATTCGCATCTTTCAAACAAGACGCGCTGGCTCGGGAGCTACAACTACAACAAATGAACATATTTTACCGTGATTAAATTGTAATACACGTTTCTAAATGATGCCGAAGTAACAACATACTGATACCGGTTAGTAACAACCATGAATTAATGCTTGACAAGTCTGCAGATAAGACGGCAGGCGAAAAACCTTTTAAAATGCTTGTTTTCTGAATGAAGATCGGGTCGACCAGGCTAAGCTAACGTTGTATATGCTCATTCCACACTCATAACAACGGCCTACAGACATAAATAAAGCAGCGACTGTATTCACCATGACACAGACAGTCTGTGGTTTGTACTTGTTTAACTTTTGTCTAGTTTCTGAACATATATGAGGAGCTGTGAGCTCTGTGTGCTAACTGCTAACAGCTAACGGCTGATGTTGTGTGGTTGAACGTCAGTGACGGCGGCTGAGATCCTCACCGCTGATTGGCTTCCGCGAGAACGCGTCACGTGAATTTGACGCTCGAGTTGAAAAAATTGAACTCTCGCGTTTAACCCGTTCAATCGCCTCAATCCCGTGATTCGCGCCGCGTCCACCGCTTCATGCGCGCCGTCGGAGCGAATTCGCGTCTGTCCGCGTCTCTGCATTGACTTTACATGTAATCGCGCCGCCCCCAAACATCGCATCGCGTCCGGTGTGAACGCAGCATAAGGACAGCTTCATTTTGTACCTGGGCAGGATGATCTTTTCACTGGGCAGCAGAGAAGCAAAGTCATTGAAGGTGCTGAACTTGACCGAAGGTGGGTGACGGAAAGGCTTGGCCCCAAAGTTAAACTCGCACTGCTGGTACGACATAAAGCTGGCTGCCGCAAAGAAACCGGACCTAACAGAGACAGAGGGGAAGGAAAGATACAGGTTCATTTAAAAAAGGAACAGTAAAAAGAAGTTGGAAATACACAGGACAGAATGAAGGGTATAGGAAGGACATCAAGGGAGAGGAAAGAAGTCAACAGAACACAAACCAGGGGAAAAGAGAT